TCATATAACAGTAAATTTCAGAAATGCTTGAAACTTCAATATTTCGAAATTTAAGGACGCTAATTTACTCAAAATGGATACACCCCGGTTTACCATGTAGCGGTAGCTTTCGGAAAGGTGAAAAACATATATTTAATACTTGCGCCGGGTATTTAATGTTCGGCTCCGCCCGAACTTANACTTTCTTACTTGTTATTTTGGTTATGATTGTTCTTAATTACGAAAAAGCATCTGTGAAGTGAAGAGTTAAATCAAACGACGAAGAAAAGTCGTTCAAGTTGAACATTTGAAGACAAATAGTCTGTTCCAATAGCAGTCCGGTTTACAGGATTTAGTCAGAACTTACAGGAAGTCGTTCCTATTGACATAAAACCTGTAAGTGGGAACACATTTGAGAGAGTAACTGAGCAACTGTTCCTAGTCAGAAGTTACAGGATTTAGTCCGGAGATTTTTTTCCTGTAAGTTCATGAAAAGTGTCAAACGATCAGCTGATTTACATGTGCAAACAAAAACAGAAAGCGGTGAAAGCAAAGAACCTTATATTTGTTATAAAATGTAAGTAAACCACGAAATATTTAAATATGTATAGATTTTATTAATTATTTAGTGATATTTCAGCCAAATCAGTGTAGTGCCAATGACATGTAAACAAACCGTCTGACGTTTTTACAGGAAATAGTGCTTTTTGCGTTCCTATGCACTTCTGCATCTGTTCTCCTTTTACTCTCATTTGAGAGCGTAAAATTGTAGTTTGACAGTTCCACAGGTTTTAGTCCGAAGTTCAAAGGAACAGACTAAAAGTTACAGAACGGCTGTAGTTGAGTGTGCAGAGATGCTCGTTGTTATTTGCTGATTTCCAGAAGGCGCTGGTTCGAATCTCGTCAGAGGAATAATGTTAAAGTGATAATAAACAGTTTTTGTTTTGTGTCTCCGAATAATGAAAAAGCATCTGTCAAACGTAGAACAAAAGCGTGTACAAACGAATAAATATGTCAATTATGACATACTAAACAAAAATAACTTTGAATCCATTGCTTTCTTTGGAGTAGTTTGTTACTCTGATGTAATGCAGAGCTGGATTAGATGGTCCTGCCCTTGGAAATAACAGTGTTAATTGTACCACATTTGTAATATGGGGCATTTCACGTCAAGCGGACAGGGGAAAAAGGTGAGGCTTTAGAATTCCATCATAT